AAGAAAGGCATCGGCTAATTTACATAAACAATGAAATTATAAGATTTAGAGGAAAATTTTTTCGTGTTTAACGGAGAAGGACCTTCATTTTTCTTTATACAGTATTGGTGAAAATGAGCCTTTTTGTGTGTGTGTTAAACCTCCAGGGGACTCATAGCTGATCATGACACATCTACAGTATATATAAAAATAAAAGTGAGACTATTTTGTTACTCTTGAATATTAGCGTTACAAAGGCGGAAGAAGAAGAAGAGCGGTTGATTACAAAGTCTTCTAGTCCTTAATTCCCACTACTGTAAAGTTATTGTTGTTCACATTTTTTACTCTGGATTTATGTGTGCATTGAAGAACTTAATTGTCCTCAGTGTGCCTGGTATTCAGCCTCAATAAACAGGTTCACATTGATATCTTGTCTACCATTTTATTATCCCTTTGTGTTTCTTTATAATTTATCTCGCCTCGTCTGCTTATCTTTACCTTCGCCCACAGCGGGTGGCTCGGCTACATGTACGACTAAGGTCTCCACGACATCCTCGGTGTAAAAATCTTGCCTGCAATACTTTGAGCTTTAAATGAATGACATTACCTACAGTTTTGGTTGTCACATAAGAGAAGCAGTTGCAGGCAGTGTCATGTGCTGTAACAATGAGATACGAAACCATTCATGAAAGATCACAGTAAATGGAAAACTGAAAGATATAATTAAAAATAGAGAAATGGGAGACAAAGAATCTTAAGGGATGGTCAAATACCAGTTATTAAAAAGAGTTGTAGGTAAAATTAAGTTTGTGTATTAGTTGTCAAGTCTTGTTTTAGTGATCTTTTCTCAAGCTACAACACCATCATTAAGTGGAGAGGCACCCCTCATTGTCACACTAGCTTGTTTGTGTGAGTGTGTGTGTTTTTTAATTGATGCTTAATGGACTTTTACTTGCTGTTCTTGCTTGACAGTACTGTACAGTATGTCAGTAATGCTTCTTCCAGTTCACTGTAGATCATGTACTTCTGTGTGTACTGTATTTTGCACTATAACATAATACTGTACAGTATTGACTCCCAGTGGTTCATCATTTCCCAAAGATTCTTGACAATGCTTCTAATACTTTGCTTCATATTTTTAGCTGAAGTACCTTGTTACCAGGCGTTGTTTGTGATGTTGCTTTAGGAATGTGATTATTGTTGTTTCATAGATTTCTGCCATTTACAACTTTACTGCCGGAACAAACTAGCAGAATTTTGTCTGATAAAGTTCATATTTAAAACACATAGCTTGGTATCTTATTGTGCACTGTGTTGGAAGCCTTCAGCTAACATAGCTGGGTATTTTATTGTGCACTGTGTTGGATGCCAAATTCTAAAATAGATATGCTAGGCCTCACCATTTCCTCTAATATGTCATGGAAGCCACACATCCTCAACATTGCTAAAGCTGCCGTCTGAAAGCTGGGAATGTTGTACTGATGCCGTAGCTCCTTCACTCCTGAGCAGTTGCTTCAAGTATATAAAGGATTCATTCATCCTAACTTGGAGTACTGCTCTCATATCTGGGGTGGCTCTTCAACTGTTAGATAGGGTGGAATCAAAGGCATTTCGTGTTATTAACTCCTCATTTAGTTAATAATCTTTCTTCCCTTTCTCTTCGTTGCAATGTTGCTTCACTCTTCTCTTTTACAGGTACTTTAACGGGCAATATTCGGTGGATTTGGCATCCTGTGTACAGCCGGCAAGGCCCTGGGCTCGTAACACATGTTTTACCCGTGGTATCCACTATTTCTCTGTGGATGTCGGTCACACTAGAATAACCCGTTATAGTACCTCCTTCTTTCCTCACACAGCCAAACTGTGGAATGCTCTGCCTTCTTCTGTGTTTCCATACTCATACAATGTCTCATTTTAAAAAGCTGGTTTTCCGGCATCTTCGTGGTGTAGGTTAATATAACCTTTTTCTTTTCTATTTTTTGTTTCTTTTTACTCTTATTTTTGTCCCCCAGGCCCCATTGTGGGTCGATGATCTTTGCCAGGGTGGGCTATTCCCCGTTAAAAAAAAAATGAATAAAAGTGCCCATTCAATCATCCTCGATATTCATTGATTTGGAATAACACGGTACCCTGAATTGTGAGCCAATATTTTATCACGGCTCAGTGATGGTCGGCGCCGCTGTGAGCGCAGGAATCGGTGAGTGAGGGATTTCCACCCCCACCCGCCAATTCCTGCGCTCACAGCGGCGAAGCGACGCTGCGTTGTATGCAGATCTAGTCTACTTGCTTTTATGTTTTGTATGATGATTTTATAGGTTATGAGTTACGTAGTGTTATTGCATATTGTATGATTTGACTCGATAAATCTGTTATGTTCTTTAATAATATTCCCTCTAGTATGTACATTAACATGTAGTATTAAAGAAAACATGTTGAACTAATGTGAAAAAATGTATGAAAATTTCACTCATCTAATCTATTTATCTAAACTAAAAAAATCAGTACATTATCAGAATTAAAAATACTGTATGTACAATAATTCCAAGATTTGACCTCGAGTTTGTGAGTTTGACCACCTTGCTGTCACCCACATGGAGGGCAAGTCATCTGTTCATTTCACAACCACACACACACTTTAATGTAATAGATTGCTTTATATTGGTTGGCTTGGCAAATTAACATTGGTCTCATGTATCGATTTTATCGTCTATTAAGTTTTTAATTTTTAATCGCACTATTTTATCGAGTTATTTGGTAGATACAGAAAACTCTTGAAAGTCCAGATTTCGGATAGTCGAACCCTTTCCAGGTAAGAAACAGTTGTCCAAACCCTTAAATATTTGTCGCTTGAAACTCCGCCTCGCACAGTCATTTGAAATTGCCGCCAGCAAGCAATCCCTTGGCCTCTTTCCTCCTTCGGACCGTGAGTGAGCAGTTTATTCCCCCACTCTTAGAATGGACTTGTCCATAATGCTGTACTGTGATTGGTTAGCTATAAGTTCAACACACATTCATTCAGAGATAAATGGTAAGGTTTTAGGTAAAATAATTCAAACAATGGTGAGGATGGTCCTCCTGGAAAGAGCAGAAGATGAGTATGTATTGCATCATCCATATGACTCGCACACACACTGGCACAGGTTCAGACACATTCAGGAGCCAATACTTGCCAACAGTACATAACAGAGACTTAATCAACCGCCCAAGCGGCTAACGATCCGATGAGTGGCAAAGATTATAAAAGTAAAGTACTAATTTAAGGATCATCGGGGGTTAATGAGTGGTTGCTTAGTTGCACAGTGGCCACCCGAAACTGGCACTCGGTAAAAATCCGGACCCACTTTCCCCCTAAATTGTCCAGACTTTTGAGGGTTTTACGTAGAAGTAAAATAATAAAAAATGTGGCAACTTTGCAAAAGTGAGAGGTCAGTTGCACAGACTGTGATTGGAGAAATTTACTTTGCTTATACTGTACATAAATATTTATGGCATGATGCAGCAACTGAATTTTGGTATTTTAAAACATACAAGCATGAAAACAATGTGTGCTTGTATTTATTATAAATACCAAGAGTTATGAACTGTATCAAGTGCCATAGGTATTTGTAAGCAGGGTACATGTTACCACTTGTGACTGGGCACACGCAACCCAGCCACACAGCTAACATGATGATATGTGTGAGCCATCTCGGTCCACCTCTACACAAGACCTCACCAACACTCGATACCCTCTTAGTTCTGAACAGGGTTTCCTATCACTCAAATTAGAATCAGTGTCAACTTACACATCCATCTCAACATTATCATTTCAACTCACTCTAGCCTGCATATGTCATCCTCTTTAACTGTCCATATTTCACAACATCACAATGCTCAGGCCAGTTACATCTTTCCTTTCACACAAGGAGAAATTCCTCTCAGCATCAATAAAGGCAACGGCTCCCCAAATTTCTTCAAGTCACTTTTGACTCTTGCAACTGAACTGGGTTTCAACACCCCACTCCAGCACTGATCATGTCACCCAGGTAACGGGTAATAATCCAGAGATATATACAGGGCCTAATGTTGAGCTTTTCCAGCTTTGAAATTTAACTGTGGGAGAAGATAAAATAGAGACAAATGAGAGCACTATATTGTGACTAACTTGTGGCCCTTGATTCTCAGTCGTGGTCATCTCCATCATCCACTTTCTATCACAGTAACTTCACCTACACCACTAATCACTTTGTTTGTGTTCACTCTCGAGTACAGTAAACCCCTGATTCAACACAAGATGGGGACTGACACTTCATACAAACTTACAATGTACAGTACAGTACAGTACAGTATAGGGTAGCAGACTACAGCCCCAAAACATACACAAAGGATTACTAAGATCACTTGATTTCACTTCAAACACGAATTATTTTACCTCAAATCACATTTTCATAGTTTATTAATAAATTACAGGTATAACTCACCTTTAATCTAAACAACTGCTCTGATTGAGCTCTGGGTCTATTCTGTACCATGCAAAATCAAACTTAACTACTAAATTGAAGAAAAAAGGAGTAATTTAAGGTGTCATGTTGCATCAATTGGGGACAATGTTAAATCAGGGGTCTCTGTATTCACTATGTTGCTCTCGAGTCAGTCAGCTGAAGTAATACAGTCCATCATGACTATACAGTGAAATTGTTCATTATCGTCACACCAATATCATCTGATGCTTTAACATTTCTGCAAATATTCGAGCAGCCTTTTAATTTTTCATATTAATGTTAGGTTTTACTGTAATATTGCAACAGGTGTAGTAAACTGTACTGTTCATAATTTAGTGGAAATTCGGTTGTAATTTATGTTGCTGGATATTGACACCCTTCAGCAGGGCTCGCTAAGTGAGTTTTATGGTCTGCAAACTGTTAATATGGAAATACTGTACCAGTTTAAAAGAAAAATTCCTTCAGGGTGACCCCGACATGATGTTCTAGTACAGTATAAGTTATGAATAAGGTTATTTTAATGGGTGTTTCTTTTTTCAGTGGTGTGAAACCAACATTCAAGCAAATTTGGCAGGATGGCCCCAGGTATGTAGAGTTGTAACAGAGCTTATTATACAGTACTGTATAAAAATAAACAATAACTGTACAGCATTTCATTGCAACAGATGCTGTTTGGGAATTTGAATGCAAGAGTTGGTGATGGAGACTTTGTTCAGGAATTATGTGTTGTCTTTAAAAAGAGAAGTTGGTTAAGGAATAAATTTATATGTGATGCAGTGGATGAGCCAATTCATATACCAGTACCAAGCTTATAGGTGTCTTTCCACGAACAAGTGGGCTATACAGTACAGTACTCCAGAAACCTGGTAAAACTAGAGATTGGTTCTCTCATGGTCCACCCACAGTTCCTGTATGGCTGATGAATCAGCTGCCTGAAGGTAAGACCTGCCATGTCATACACCACATAACCCAAGCAGGCTATGAACCAAGTGCGAGGCTGCTACCAATTATAAATATGGCGAGCAAAAAAGTGTATAAACTTTTATTCACATCTGCTCTAATAGTGCAAGAGGATAAATTTGGTACTGTACCATAATGATCCCGAATAAATTCTCTACAAAACAATTCCATTAAAAGATCCCCCTCCCAAAAAATAATATTTTAACATGGTATAATGATGAGGACACGATGCTTTTATCAAAAATAAATAAAAATAAAGAATTGTTGATAACGGAGTCCATAAAATCAGTTCCAATTAAGTTAGAAACACCATTTTTTTTACCCAAAGATCTTATCTAAAATTTGGTTAAATAAATATATTTTTAAAAAATCCAGATGTGTCATAACCAAGAAAGTGGAATTTTTCACCCTTAAATTATTACTGATATATGTTGGTAATTATTAGGACATGATAAGTGTAAAGAAACACACTATGTATACAATATTCATGTCTTTGTTTTACAGGTTTACTGACAGAAACTCACTTGAGCAGGAGTATGAAGCACGATGGAATTCCCTTTATGAAATGTACAAAAACAGGAAAATGATGTTGGAATCTGAACTACAAACAGAAGTGGGACAAATGGAGAGAAAATTAGCTATGATAAAACAAGAATATGAGGCACAAAAATTTAAGATGGGTGAGTAATTGTTCTTCAGTTTCTGTAATTCAACATATGGTTGGTAGGAAAGAGTAGATGTTTCTTGGTGATTTTGGCTGAAATATTGTCCAGCATGACACAGTAAGTTGTCTATTAATGACTGGAAGCCCTAAATTAAAGTGGGTGGAATTACTCTGATGATTAGCTCAACTCCTCTACAACAGCCCTGTTCCTTGAGAGGCTGTGAAGAATGGTAACTAATGAGTTGTGAGTTTCTTAAGCTGCCTGTTCATTATTTGTCATTCTTTGCCACAGAGTTGGAAGCTGGATCAACCTTAACAATCAGCGATGACCCTGTTAGAACAACATGTGTCACACACTTTGCTCATTTTAAGAATTTTGGTGCCTTTGGCTAATTATTTATTTGCTCTGGAGGGTTTCTGCTCTGAGCTATAAGTGATATCCCCATTACCCGGAACAATTGGTGCAGAGCGCTTCCGGGATTCCGCCATAATTTCCTCCACACACCATTCATGTTCCCTTCTGTTACTTCCTGCCATCACTTTCCAACGTTTTTAGCAGCGTTTAGTATATGATATCCACGCCAAAATTCTTTTATGGGTGGTTTTCCAGCACCAACTGTTTCTTCAATCAGTTGACACATGGCACGGCATAAATAATAGACCTTAAATGGTGATATAACGCCTTGGTCCAGAGGTTGAAGCATGGACGTGGTATTCGGTAGAAGAAAAACAACTTGTACATGTTCAGACAATTCATTTAGGTGAGCTGGGTGGCCTGAAGCATTATCTAATTGGACCAGTGCCTGGTGTGCTATGTTTTTCCTGGCACAATTTTCCTTTAACACTGAGCAAAAATATTTTTTGAAACTCAACAAAAAGCCATTGTCATCCATGCTTTACTGTTTGACAGCCAAATTACTGGTAAATTTTGTTTACACACACACACCTTTGAATGCTCTAGGGTTCTCAGAGCGATATATAACGAGAGGTTTGAGTTTAAAGTCACCTGCTTTACCACCTAAGAAGAGTGTGATACAATCTTTGGCTGCTTTGAATCCTGGAGCAGCCTTTTCTTCCGTGGAAATAGATGTCCGGGAAGCCAATATAGTCCCGTTTCATCAACGTTAAAAACTTGACTGGGCAAGTCACTGCCTTCCTCGATTATTTTGCGTAGTTCTTCTGGATAAGCAGCAGATGAATCACCACTTGCTGCCTCACCAGTGACTTTTAAATTATGTAACCCGTGGCGTTGTTTGAACCTAGCAAACTAGCCTCGACTCGCACTGAACTTTACGGTTGATGCACTTTAACTTATATTTCAATTTTTAAGATCATTAAACAATGCTAAGGCTTTCGTTTGAATAATAACCTTGCTTAATGGAGATTTCTGATTTTTTTTCTTCAGTCCATATACTTATATGTCTCTCCATTTCCTGCATAACCCCACTCCTGCTTTGTCAAACTTTATTGGCACTTAATGAAGTTGTAGACAGAGCGCTTTCTTTAATTTTTTCTTCATTCTTACGGATAGTTTTCACTGTTGATTCTGCCATCCCCAAAGCGCATGAAATATCCACAGACTTTTCACCCTTTTCATATCGTTTTAACTCATTTAGTTTCTCAACTAAGCTTATTCATTTTCTTTTAGCTTTTGAACCAGCACTACCATCACTTGCTCTCTTGCTCATGTTGAATAAAGACACGAAAATGCCCTAAGAAACCCGAGAAAGTTTTTCTCTTCCTCCTGTTCAGATGCGTGAAAGCAAAATGCCCGTTAAGCAGCTTCTGTTATGTAAGTAATGTTGGCATCACCACTCACCAGCCCGGCACTATCCGCGTGCAAGGCGTGCAAGGCGTGGTTTTATTTATTATTATTATTATTTGTGTGATGCATATCGGGATTTAGTTTTTATTTATATGAAAATTTACTTTATTTTGTTCTGTTTTCGTCGTAAATACGAATAAAATACCTGTGTAAATTGAATCAGGTCCTAAATTAACCAGGGTTTTAAGTACGAAACATCATTAGTAGAATCGTCATTATTCGAGGCTTTCCTGTACTGTACTGGTCAAGCCTAATGGATACTAATACGAGGTAAGAAACTGAGTCATTATTATTCTAACAGTCTTACTGTATAGCTGGCAGCAGGAACCACTCAGTAGGCAAAATTTACATGTGTTGTTGGTGATAAATCAGGTAAAACTAGAGTGAGGAAGCTCTGGAGTGTCAACATCGCTCTTGACAGGAATCATTTTTAAATGGGTTGATTCTGAAACCCCATCTTATAACAGAACCAGGAAAGAATAACCTATCCTTACTCTCCTTCTGAGGTCTGTGAGTTGTGAAGGATGATCCTGCTATGTAGCATAGCTTGACAGGTGAAGAACAGGTGATAGTGCATAAATTGTATGCATTTACAACTCGCAAGCTCCCTGCCTCCTTGGGTAACCTCTTCTTATCATGGATCAGTTAGGCTGATAATGAGATTAACCTCAACCACTTTAATTAGAGTCTCCTGGCCTTCAAGCCTTCTGGCTTTAGCAGGTACGGTATTGTCTTAAGTCAATCTCTCCGGGCTCTTATAAATGTGGTTTCAGAAAACATTGTGCACTCATATATGCACAGATACTGTACCAATTGCTTTATCTGGGTATGAAAAAGAAACTGTTGTTTTAATCCTGACCAATTTGTTTCTTGTAAAGATTTTAAGGTTAAATGAAATAAAAGATGATTCATCTGTCTTAACTGTTTAAACTTTTCAGGAATGATGGGGCCTGGAGAGCCGTCTCAGATGGGCAGACCTATGTGTGGTCCAGGTCCCCAAGGAAGCACCAGTAATGGAATGGTATATAGTTACATATGTTCAGTTTTGGTTTATATATATATATATATATATATATATATATATATATATATATATATATATATATATATATATATATATATATATATATATATATATATATATATATATATATATATATATATATATATATATATATATATATATATATATATATATAGTTCAAGTTTTTATGCAAATAGTAGGTGGTCAAACTATATAATATACTGTACAGTAAGATCTTGTATGTCGCGAGTAATATAGACTGGAAAAATTGCACCAAATTCAAATACATAAACTAATGGGAAAAATAACAATACAGACTGGCCACTTTACATCAACCTCTGATTTTCCCATTTATAACCTACAAATGATACACTTCCTGCCTTTATTGACTTGATTGTGCTTTCCGGGAACTAGTTTTTAGGCCTTCCTCAAGTAACCTAATCACACGCTGCTTATCCTGCATCAAGTACTTGGCAAACTTAACTCCCTTATGATAGTCCCATTTCTCCTTTTCCTTATTTGGCCGCTTAGGTGGGTCTGTCCCACCAGCACCAGTAGGACCCCCAGTAGAGGTTGAGGCCATTATCTTGACATAACAGAATTGGAGAAAACAGCGAAAATCACAGAGCAATCGACAGAAACCGCCCGATTCAACTGATCACGTGATGTAAACAGAGAGCCCTGGTGTAAGCCGTTATTAGTCCTCACTGCGCAACATTCTTTTTACTTATTCTTTTCATACAGTATTTATGGGTAACAGCTAAATTTGCAAAAAAAGAACAAAATTTACAGTGTTTCTCAAAAAACACTTCACAAACAAAAGACACGAATCAATTGAACATGTGATGTCAAACGTGAACTGTAAGCACTGCATAACCCCGCACCACGCTTAAAACGTTGGAGATGGATTCAAAACATTTAGGATGGAATCGCGCTATAGCCAACTTTCATATGCAAAGGTTCGCGTTTTACAAACAACGTTCCTCTGTTCATCAATCGCAATACAACCAATTCGCGTTGACAAAACACTCGTTATAGCAGAAATGACTAACTGGTATGAGGGCTGTGACGTCATTCAAGACGGTGGCCAACATTCAGCTTGCTGGATCTCACGTTCAGCTGGCTGGATCTTGCGAAGCTCACTATATTTTACAGCAAATATAAGGCTTGGTTACATTAGGTAATGCTCGCGAAATTCAAAAATGCGAAATGAAATCGCACAAAATATGAGATCCTACTGTACACACAATAATTTTAAAGGGTTAAAATTCATGAATTTCCATGGGTTATGTGCAGTGAATGATAGCTACCCAGCACATGCTCGTGGTAGGCTAACTTTACCAGTCAGCTCATTTATCCTGGGTCATACCCTTAGATTCTTATATATACAGTTGTTTGACTCCCGATTTTTCACTAAAAAAGACTTGAGTATTTTGTATACCTTAACCTAACCCTTTTAGATGTTGATATGATGGTTTTGCTTGCTTGTAGGACCACAGACAGGGAATGCCAGGTGATCGCTATGGAAGCCACTGTACAGGTATGAGGGACATGAGATTCCAGCAGAAAATGCAAAACGATTCCAACCAGAGAATGAAGGAATTATGGCAGCAGTTTAGCTCGGAAGAAGATCGCCTACGATCCCTGCCGAATAATTCTTTTCAGCCGGGTGGTATGGGCGACCAGCAGGGCATGAAGAGAAATGCAGGGGTTGGGTCTCCAGGTTTTGAAGTAAAGCGCCAACGTTATTGAGCTAATTACTCATTTTATTTCCCTTGCCGTAATTTTGGTGTCATGTACTGTACTGTACAGGATTTAAGGTGCACTAGTAATAGTAGTCTCTCCTCCAATTACGACGGGGTTCCGTTTTGACGACCAGGTCGTTAGTCGAACCGATGAAAATAATACGTAGTACAGTAGAGTCGGGATATATAGAGCTATATGTAACAAGTTTTTTTATATGGCGGCTACCAAAATTATCAAAATTTTCCAATATTTAGCGTCACATAAAGCCAAAAACGTATAAAGTCAAAAACACTCATGAAAATCCCCTAAATCACCCAAAAAATATGAGTTGAAAAAATTTACAGTACTTAATGTACTCTAAAAGACTAAAAAATTTATCTCTTGTACAAAATATATGATGTGTATATTCAAATTATTCGCTGTCTTGCAAGGATTCCAGCAATGTAATTTATATTCTGCTAACTTTAGTCTGTCACATTTTAAAAGATAAAAACTTTAAGCCTAAAAACCACAGTCACCCTTACCTGAAGTCAGAGAAGAGTTGATTTATTATGACAGCTGGGCCAGAGCCAGACAATGTTACCTAGTGGTATTTATTTTTCTGTCATATTGGGAGAGTTTACGTTTTTCTCTTATAAACTGTCAATGAATTGACATAAGAGGATATAATAAACATTGCTAGAATTCTTATAAGATAGTGATTAATTTGAATATAAACATGCTATAGTTTGCAATACACATACATATTTTAGTAATTATTTAGTACACTTGACTACAAAGGACTAACAATTTATCTCTTGTGCAAAATATGTGATGTCTATATTCAAATTATTCACTGTCTTACAAGGATTCCAACAATGCTATTTATTTTGTGGTAACTTTAGTCTGCACCATTCTATGTCAAGTTTAGTCACTTTTATTGGTCTCCAGAACCTAACCCTATTTTTCCCATTGATTACATGTAATTATATATAGCGATTTAGTATACAGCTCGACTGGGTTAGGGACCCAAATCCGGGTCGTAAGTCGAAAATGCGAAAATGATACATAGAAAATCTAAAATGGGTGTCTCTTTTTCTTCTCAGCACCACAAAACTCTCACTTTTAAGCTTGCCAGCCATTTTAAAGAGAATTACAAATGAAAATTTTGTCAGTATACAGCGCAATCACGAACGTCGGGACTCTTAAAATGTGTAATTTGAAAAAATTTTGGTACGACTGGGGCGGTCGTATGTCCGGGTGGTCGTAAGTCGAGGAGTAGCTGTATTGTGAACATCCTTGGACCCTATCTCGCTATACATCCCAACCATACTGTAATAATTGTAAAACTTTTACCTCTTTAATATACAAACTGAGCGGGATACGACGTGGATGCTGTACACACACGGCAGCGTGCCAGATGTTGTCTTACGGCGTCGTTAGACATTACGACCAAATGTCTGGACTCAAAAATAATGTAAAATATTTTATAATATAACGACAATGGCCGTCGTAAGTCGAGGAGAGACGGTATTCAAAAATTTTCTAAACAACCAGTTGGATGCAATTTAGCTTCATGTTAAACCTGAAGACTAACAACCAATTAAGTTATTGTGCTGTACTGTGTCAGAGGAATGATTTTTATGCACTGTACTGGAAATATTTGTACTGTAGTGTACAGGAATCATTCTGCAGTACAGTGCTGTATGCTAGGTTCATTTGAAGCATGTAATGACAAATGATTGTAAATTTAAAACAATGATTCCTAAAATCCTTAGAATTTTGTATTCATGTACTTTTTATCATGTTTATTTCTAACCTGTTGAATGGAATACAGGTACAGGGGGCCCCCCAAATTCACAGGGGTTAGGTTTTCAAAATGGCTGCAAATAACACTTGCTGACCAGGGAAGGGGGGGTGGGGGGTACATTTTTACTTATGTACAAAGAAATGTATATTCCCTTTATGTGTTTACCTGTATTGTATACCCTGTATATGTTTGTGAGTGTATACACACACACACACACACACACACACACACACACACACACACACACACATATATATAATACAATACAGGTAAAGGAAATTACTGTCTTTAGGGTGAATGGCTCCCTGTCCCAGCCGTGAAAATGCCGGCAACTTTAAAACTAGCCACAGACATTCTTGGGTACATCCAGGGTGTCATCCATGAATAATAGAGGACCGCAAAAAAAAAAAAAATCGCGAATTTGGGGGCCCCTGTATTTGAATAGCTTGAGTAAGATACTGTGTGAGGATGCAAGATCCATGGACCTACTTCTATTACTTAAGGATAGGTACATATACAGTAATGGTATGATCAAAGTTTGCTTCATTCATGAGACTGTATATATAGGTAAGATTATGTTAATGTTTTATGAATGTACCTTAACACAGTAGACCCGATACATTACAAGAGCGGGACCAAGAATTGTGTTATGTCGTACCGTGTGTTTCATTGTGAAATACAGTAGAACGTTTATTTAAAGCGATTCAATTTAAGATTATTGATTTAAAGAGACACCCACAATTAACGACAATGTTTTAATTTAAAGCGAATCTTTCCCATTTTGCACGAGTCAATCTGGCGCATCATATTTTAAATTTTGCGCCTAATGTTTCCCACCAGACGCGTCTCTGGACACGCCACACGGCTGCCCGCCACCCTCCCACACCCTCACACATCCTCAGTTCTCACACGAACGCTCTAGTGAACGGACATATTGTGTCACACTATATCCTACCACGTGCATCAACCATCGCCACTATGTCCAAGAGGCAGGGCCGGATTCAGGAGTGGGCAAAGTGGGCAGCTGTCCAGGGGCCTCCACAATCTGGGGGCCTCCACATATTACAATATTTTATTTATTTGTTTATTCATTTGGATCACTATCAATAAATATACAGTTAAGAAAAAATTCCTCAATGTTCTAATTTCCTCAATATAACTTCATATAGCTTCAAAATTTTCCAAAGAAGTGTTCAAATTTCAAAATTTTCCCGGGGGGCGCTGTAAGAACTCCCAGATGTTTAGGCTCGCTTCACTCGCCACCCCACCCTCTTGGGTAGTTATAATGAGGGGGGGGCCTCCACAAAGAGGCTGCCCATGGGCCTCCACAGGTCTAAATCCAGCACTGCCAAGAGACCAGCCACTACATCATTAACTAACCGAAAGGCCAAGAAAGCAAGGCAAGCAATTACACTAGAGCAGAAAATCAAGGTGCTGGAAGCACTGCAGCGAGGAAATGATGCTTCCTTCGTCCACAGCCACACCACTAGACAGTGCTGTGGATGACAAGCTGGTCGAGTTGGGTTCTGTATCTTCAGAGGATGAATTGCCTAACTAAAGTTGAGTGAAGATCTGTTTTTGATAGGATGAAGTAATTAAAAACTAAGTCGAGACGAAAGTTTAAGTACTGTTGAGTCAGATGAGACCACCGACAGGGTTGCCAGGCTCTCAAATGAGAAAAGGGTCAAACTGTACACAGTATATACTGTACAGTGGTCCCTCGGTTAACGAGCGCCTCGATTAACGAGATTTCGGTTAACGATTTACCTTCCATAAGATTCTTAACTTCGGTTAACGAGCAATCCCCCGATTAACGAGTTTTTTACGAGCCGACTTCAACATGTTTTCGCTTGCATTTGGCGGTCCACCAGCTGTAGTATTAGTCCGCCAATACAGTAATCAGTTTTAGGGCTTAAATTCCTTGCTATTTTAGTAAATATCAAGAAGTTTATACTATTCAATAATTTTAAAAGTTTAATATTAACTTTTTTAGTCATTTTAACAATTATTGAACATAATTGAAGGTAAAGAAACTAGTTTCTGGCGTGCCATTCAGCCTGTTAACACACCAGACAGGCGTTAGTCTCTCTCTGTTTTCAGTGGAGGTAACATCTTGCTTGAGACTCTCTTCAACTAAATGCTTTTTTTCTGTGTTTCCAAGCAAATTATTGGTCATTTTGAAATATATTTTACATATTGACAATATATAATGCAGTGCAGTGTTGATTTAAAGAAAATAATCTTGAATTACACCAAGAGAGCTAAAATTTTATGGGTGAAATGGTGCCATGGGGTGACTTCTCTTCCACCCCAATGCCTTCTCTTCTTCCTTCTCCTCCACCCCCATTCTAATTCCCATCATCATCCAGGAGCCTTCTACATACACACCTCAAAGTAAGTGAACTTTTCTACCTTTTTTGTTGAATTTAGGCAATTTTCGGTGAGCTGGAACCAATTACCCAAAAACCCATTGAAACAATGGTTTCGGTTAACGAGCAACCTGCTGGAACGGATTGTGCTCGTTAACCGAGGGACCACTGTATATAAGTCTATACTACAAAAAGGCATTTTATATATATATATATATATATATATATATATATATATATATATATATATATATATATATATATATATATATATATATATATATATATATATATATATATATATATATATATACACATATATACATATATATATCTATATACAGTATACTGTATATACATATATATATATATATATACACATATATATACATATATACATATATATATATCTATACAGGTAGTTCTGCTATAACGCGATAATTGTGTTCTTGTAAAATATCGTGTTATAGAAAATCGCGTAATAGAAATAACAGGGCTTATGGAGAAAATAGGGTTAGGTGCAGATTACTCGAAATCGAAAAAATTTAGTAGTTAGCCTAACACAAAGGATAGCACAGTCTAAATAAATGTTACATTCATATCTAATAATGAAATCATACAGTAAATTTAACACTTTACCTTGAAAAAATATGAATGTAACTTGATGTGGGAGAAGGGTGATTTTGAGGTTGATAACATCAAGCTTCTCTTCAAGTGTTATAGCCTTTCTTTTACGATAATCACCGGGAATTCTATCATCAGAATGCTTTTTGGAGATATTCTTCTTTACCATATTCACAGTTAATACCACAAAATTGGAGAAATAGTAAGCAAAAATCGCGTTATAGCAAACAAGCAATCGCGTTATACAAATATTGTTCCGAATTCATAAATCGCGTTAGAGCAAATTCGCGTTATCAAAACACGCGTTATAGCAGAACTCACTGTATATATATACATATATATATATAGGTTTTTTTTTTAAATATACATAGGTGTACAGTATTTATGAAAAGAATACAAATAAAAATAATAATGGACCATTCAACTTTTTGCAATTTATAAGTCTGTGGGGTACGTTATGTTTGGTTCACACTCAGGATGGGATGGAGAAAGGAAACTCACAATGTGCTCTCTGTATACATATTGTATTGGATGTACAGTGCAGCTTGGTGCTGGGAAGTGGCAGCGTGGTTGCAAGCGTGATGTAGAGAGAGCTGGTTGGTGAGGGTGCTCAGAGGAGGACCAGCTTGTGGGTCGCCATGCTCGCCGGTGGGAGCGAGGGCCGCCAGGCAGGCGTAGGAGGAGGAGGTGTTGCTTGTTGGTTGGTGTAGGTCGAAAGAGAGGTAGGTCACCACGAGGTCAAGTCTTATATAGCGGAGGTAGGCGTGGCTTAATAGTTGACCTCCGTCATGTAAGGCAGCGCTGGTTGACCTAGACCAGAGGCATACACTGGGGAATTCGCGGGGTCGGCTACTCAGCGACAAACAGCGTTTGTAGGGGAGGGATCCACTACAAGTCTATTACTTCTAATTTCCATTCATTTTCATTGATGTATCCAATACAGCGATACACACACCTCCAACATTTATTATTACTGTATATATTCTTGTATGATCAGCCACTTATGGTGTATGTTTTATCATTGATAATATAAAATATTAAATAATGTACGTACTATAACATGTATAGAAAAATGACAAAATTTGCGTGCTCCCCAGTCCCGGGTCCTCTGTGCGTGGGTGGCAAGGGGACGCTCGAGGTAACTTAGGTCGTAGTCTCGCGCAATGATTGGCTAATGCTGTCATGTAACCTCAAGGGACATCTGTAATTGGCTGATGCATCTTGTAGATCACCTCTCCCGTCACCCCAGGCTAGCATTAGGGCAAGCTTAATGCATAATTCTGTCACCAGTCCTACAAGGTTCATCTGTTGCTTGTTCCTGTTTTTTGTACAGTTTGTTGTGCAGTACTGTACAATTGCTGTACATAGGACTCAATCAATCTATAACACAGCGTTTAAGCTGTGTTAAGACGTCAACAGAACCAAAATGAACAAATGAACCTCAATACAGTACAGCACTGGAATTTTGGTGACAGCACGGGCCAGGAGGCAAGTTATCCACTTGTCCTCCCTCTACCACCTGTCATCTCCCCCAGCCTACGCACCCAAATTTAGTTTTGTACAGTATAATTCATATTCTATTCTTATAATTCATGATTCGGTAATTTATGAGGATGTTCATTATACAAATTATATAATGTTTTCTTTCATTTAAAATTCAGTAAGGAGTAAGAAGGTGAGGAGGGTGGGAGGGAAACTGACCGCACACCCCCAAAAAGGTTCCTTGTAGTCTCCCCATGCCTGTCATTACCATTGTAAAAAAATTTTACTTTGTTTTTTTTATTTACTAATAAAGATATGTTTACTGTAATAATCTGTGCTTATTAATACCTGTGCCCTTCATATATAATACAGTACAATACTTTTTATAATGTGTCAGTACTGTAATGATTAAATAAAAAACGTAAATTTGGCAATGGGTAAACTTAGCAGCCACCTACTCTCCTCCCAGTAGAGGGGTCTGGGAAGAAAAAA